GGCAATAGCTGCATGTCGCGGTGACTACGCCGTTAGGAGATGTAACCTTCGTCACGTGCTCCCACACCTCCGAGAAAGGTCTAACCATGGTGGAATACCGCACTTGACTGAAGCTGTAAAATGCCTACTAAGATGTACTTGTCGAGTAGGTTTATCGCCCTGCTCTTTGTACCTTGCTAGACTTGGTTGTGTTGCTTTGGCGAACGGAAAAGGCAGAAGGGATGGGATGGGATGGGATGGAGATTGGACTAACGCTATTGGTCAAAATTGTTTCGCAGCGCAAAGTTGGGTTGTGTCGCGCACGCGGGCGAAAATAACGACGGGGCCGCGAATCGTCCCACCGACCTAACGAAACGGGTTGACGGGTGATAACGGTTCGCCAAATGTACAAATTACCGCATCGCGCAAATTTGTACATTTGCGCTTCGGCGAAATACACAAACTGACATTTCGTAAGGGCAACAGAGCAGCAAAACGTTCGCCAAAAAACCAAATGTCGCGCCTCGAGAAATACTCGACATGCGCGACTTGGGAAAAAAACAAACACGTGTGCATTTGGCAGCACGAATGTCTCAAACCCAGGGTGACGGTTGGGAAATGCCGAAATTCGCTATTGCAAACTCAGTATCAAAATTTCGGTCGTAATTTACGACCGTATTTTTAAAGCAGCATGAAATTACAATGATTGACCGTTTTTTACCGTAATTTACGATTCCGTAATTTGCGGCAAATTTTCAAAAATACGGCCGTATTTTTGAACCTTGCACTCACCTGCTCTGCTACCATGTTCACACACAAATTTCCACAGTTACATGTGATGCCTTCTCCCCATAGGACAATATTCTGGAATACCCCATCATGCCATGGCCACACCCTTCTCATGCCCCACCTTGCCTATGTCCCACCCTGCTGCTCCCCATGCCCCACCGTTTGGCCATTGTGTTGTGCTATGGCGTGCAGAAGCTTATGCCATTACCACAGTCCGTCGCACATGCCACTCTTCTCAACTCCATTCCCTCGTTTTGAGAATTCTAAAAGCTGCTCCTCGTGCCCCACCGTTTGCACATGTGTTGTGATATGACATGCAGAAGCTGCTGTCGCCTCAGTCCGCCACACACACCGCTCCTCTCAACTCCACTCCCTCCTCTCCCTCCACCCCTCCACTGAACGATCCAAGTGCCTCATCCTCCTCCTCCCCATCCTCCTCCTCTTCCTCTTCCACCTCTTCTCATGCACCTGCCAAGGCTCCTCTGCAACTGCTGTCTAGATTCGTCAACCCCTGGGGAAAGGGACAGGCACAAGGGGTGGGAGGAAGCAGAGAGGGGGGGTTCCTGCAGGTGACCGTGTGTGATGGGGGGAGGGGAGGAGGGGGAGGAGGGAGAGGAGGGCGGGCGAAGGAGGGGAAGGGGGAGGACGGGGGGAGTGTGAGAGACGGAGAGCCCATGTTTGAGCTGCACATGAAGGTGCCATCGCTCAAAGGTGAGAGTGCCTTCCTTTCTTTGTTTGGAAGAGTAATAAAGGAAAGCTGGAAAGTGAAGAGTGAGAGACGGAGAGCCCATGTTTGAGCTGCACATGAAGGTGCCATCGCTCAAAGGTGAGAGTGCCTTCCTTTCTTTGTTTGGAAGGGTAATAAAGGAAAGCTGAAAAGTGAAGAGTGAGAGACGGAGAGCCCATGTTTGAGCTGCACATGAAGGTGCCATCGCTCAAAGGTGAGAGTGCCTTCCTTTCTTTGTTTGGAAGGGTAATAAAGGAAAGCTGGAAAGTGAAGAGTGAGAGACGGAGAGCCCATGTTTGAGCTGCACATGAAGGTGCCATCGCTCAAAGGTGAGAGTGCCTTCCTTTCTTTGTTTGGAAGAGTAATAAAGGAAAGCTGGAAAGTGAAGAGTGAGAGACGGAGAGCCCATGTTTGAGCTGCACATGAAGGTGGCATCGCTCAAAGGTGAGAGTGCCTTCCTTTCTTTGTTTGGAAGGGTAATAAAGGAAAGCTGGAAAGTGAAGAGTGAGAGACGGAGACCCCATGTTTGAGCTGCACATGAAGGTGCCATCGCTCAAAGGTGAGAGTGCCTTCCTTTCTTTGTTTGGAAGAGTAATAAAGGAAAGCTGGAAAGTGAAGAGTGAGAGACGGACAGCCCATGTTTGAGCTGCACATGAAGGTGCCATCGCTCAAAGGTGAGAGTGCCTTCCTTTCTTTGTTTGGAAGAGTAATAAAGGAAAGCTGGAAAGTGAAGAGTGAGAGACGGAGAGCCCATGTTTGAGCTGCACATGAAGGTGCCATCGCTCAAAGGTGAGAGTGCCTTCCTTTCTTTGTTTGGAAGAGTAATAAAGGAAAGCTGGAAAGTGAAGAGTGAGAGACGGAGAGCCCATGTTTGAGCTGCACATGAAGGTGCCGTCACCTAAAGGTAAGAGGCACGTTCCCTCTTTGGAAAAGAGGCCTTTACAGCTTGCATACTGGCTTCACTTGTACTGGGTGTTTTTTAGTGTCACTTCTGAGAGGTCTCAAAAGTGACTCCCAAATAAAAGGTACGTTCCCTCTTTGGAAGAGAGTCCTTTACAGCTTGCATGCCGGCTTCACCTTTTCTGGGTGTTTTTAAGACTTGTTGCCTTATTTAAAGGTTTCAGAAACACCTGCACTTCTCAGATTCACCCTGGAAGGCTGGCTTGTGGCCTTGTACAGCTTTGGCCTGCATTCAGCCCCTTCCCTTCCTCAATTTTCTTCCTTCACTGTGTCGTGTGTGTGTTGTATGTGTGTGTGCGTGCATGCATGCATGCATTCGTGACTGTGTGTGCATGTCTCCCCATGACATCATCAGAGCTCGCAGCTGTGTCCCGCCTGCCCTCCATCAAAATGTCACTGCCTAGCTTCAGGTGATTGTGTATGCGCTGTGGTAACCAGCTCAGGTGAGCTTGCTCTCTGGTAACTATCATCATTGTAACCATGTTATGGTCACCAGCTCCTTGCATAAATTATATGGCAATGAGCAATGTGGTAACCAGTCCGGAAAGAGCTTGTGTTGATGACCAGGAGGATCGTGGTGACCAGCAGCATATGCTCTCGCTCAACCCTCTTCCACCCATTCTTCCTCACAACAGCCTGCTCATTCCGCCCTGCCCAATCCGCCCTGCCCAATCTACCTTGCTCATTCATCTCTGCCGCATCCCACCACTCCTGTACCGCCCTGCCTCGCATCACCTTTCTGGTCCACACAACCCCTGTCTCCAGTGGCCGCACAGAGGCTCAGCCTGCTCTCTCAGAGCCGCCTGCACGTGACCCCGTCCACCCATTTGCCCTCACCTATTACTTGCCCCTCCCATTCCGCTTTGGCCCATGTCACCCTTTCTGGTCCTTCACACATCCCCCGTCTTCAGTGGCCGCACGGAGGCTCAGCCTGCTCTGCTCAAATACTCGTGCGACCTCTCCTGCCGGTTAGTCTTCCTCGTTTCACCTCATTGACCAACCAGCTTGTTTCAGGTCCAGTTGCCGTGCGCTGTTTTGTTTGGCCTTGCTTCTTGTTTCCCTTGTACGCTAATCAACAGCTTATTTGGTTTTGAGATTGATTCAGTCTCCCACCATGCAGCCTTAGATCATAGATACATGCATACCCACACAAAATCCTGCAATCCCACATATGCGTGCCCACATACACACAAATCACCCCGCATTTTCCCCTCTCCTCCTTTTCTCTGCTGTTTCGCTCTTTCACTGGCGTCCACGACCCGTGCCCCTGCAGTGTGAGCCTCATGCCGCCTGCCACCACCCGCATCAGCCCAGCCTACCGACAGACCTCTCCCGCCAGTGTTGCTGCCACTTTGAGTGACTCTGTGACTTCTCCCAAGGAGCTGATTGCTGGCAAGAAGAGCCAGGATGTGGTGCTCGAGGTGCTCTCTGGCCAGCCACTTATTGCGATGTGTTTCGAAGGGATGGAGATGAGAGTGGAGGCTCCGACTCGGGTGGTGTTGCCTGCAATGACGCTTCCGAAGGAAGACAAGGCTCGTGACGTAGTTGTCGCCTCGAGCAGCTTGCAGTTTGCAGGCAATGATGGTGTGAAATGGCCTACAGTGGCTGATTATAAGACTGCTTGATCTAAATCAATTACTTCGAAATTGTTTCATTGTATTTATCATCACTATCTAATGTAGGAAACTTATTTCATGTGCGTGAGTGTAATTAGCCTCGCAATTTGCTGAAACGGGCCAACCATCTTTAGATCATGAACCTCGTGGTCGGGATCTCTTTGCTTCTCCACGTCAGCACTTGAGCGACGTGGCCCATAGAGGCACCTTTGTTCTGCCATTGGGCCCCTTCACCCATACTCCTGGTCAGGGGTGTAAAAAAAGTTTTTTTTGGTATTGGCTGACAGATCAGCAATCTGTACAGACCGCTAATCTGAATGGTTGCGAATGGCAAAACCCAGACCCGTGATTGGTGGTGAGATTCCACGTAGACTGTATTTCAGAGATGCACGAAACTTCGGAAGACACACGACAAGCGCAGAGCTTGTGCGAACAGATAGAGCGAAATGAGATTCAGTCACCAACCACCTGTCGCTTGCCATCTGGCACAGGAGCGATTCGCATCACTCATTTTGAACCTTCTGCGACCGTCAAAGCGGTCTTTCGCTGGAACCTAACCGCATACCGCCTTTGTCCACTCGTCGCCACAGTTAACCGAATCCACATCCTCCAAACCGAATTATCCTTCCCTCGGGCATTTCGGCCTCGAAAATTCCAGGAATCCCAGCCTTGGGAACTCCATTTTATGCCTTCAGGCTTCCTAAACCACTTTTTCTTGATGTCAGTCAGGCATTGATCTGGCTGTGTTGCGCATTGTTCTGCGCTGCGTGTCTGTGAATCCGAAAAATAAGTGCTTTTGTATTGTTAGCTTCCTCTCTTAGGGTCTCCATTTGTCACGCAAGGACTCCGTATTTCGAACTCTTTAGTAATCGAGGAGTTTGCTGCCGAACAGGAAGCGTACCTTGTAATCGTAGACCAACGCGGTAGCCATGGCGGCTTGTGCTTCTACGCTACACAGCTCTGCAGCTCTCGTTGCAGTGCAATCTGTTTCACTCTCTTCCAGCCAAAGACTAGCCAGCACCAGCAGCCTATCGGTGACGTGGCGAAATGTTCGCCAGACGTCGTCGCCGTCACATGGTCGCCAACAACGCTTCGCCGTGAGAGCAGCTGCGGCTGAAGAGGCGTCGAAGAAGGGTGCGTTTCGCCCTTCCCCTTCCATCTTTCAACACGAAAGCGCGTTTTCTTACCATATTTAAGCCGGAGAAAGTCACCACTATTTTCCATCCTATCTGCAGGCGAAATATATTCGATTGTTCGTTGCGTGTGGTATCTCTCTCGTGACTAATTTTATCCACTCCAAAGTACTCTCTGATCTTCATTTCTTGCGCTCTCTGCTCCTAGCCTTTTTTGTCTTCTTCTTTTTCCCCCCTGAATTTCTCGCTTGGAGCTTCCGGCAACGACAGCGGGAGCGGCAGCGACAGCGAGGTGGACGATCGCATCATACCGTATTGCGACATCGCGAAGAAGAAGCGCACGCTGGGCGAGATGGAGCAGGAGTTTCTGTTGAGGCCTTTCAAACACTATTTCTATCGCATTTCTCGCCTGCAGATTGCGGGAGCGACAGCGACAGCGAGGTGGACGAGCACATCCTGCCGTACTGCTTGCTCCTGGTCATCTTCAGCCCTTTTTTTTCTTTCCACTTTGCAACCGCATTCCTCGCCTGCAGCCTCCGGCGATGACAGCGGGAGTGGCAGCGACAGCGAGGTGGACGATCGCATCATACCGTACTGCGACATCGCGAAGAAGAAGCAGCGCACGCTGGGCGAGATGGAGCAGGAGTTCCTGCTGGCGCTGCAGGCGTACTACATCGGGCAGGACCCCATCATGAGCAACGAGGAGTTCGACCTGCTCAAGGAGGAGCTGCTCTGGGAAGGCAGCCAGGTCGTCGTGCTCTGTAAGCACCCACCTGCACTCGTTAGAGGCACGTATACTCGTTATAAGTACGTAACGTTCCTGTAGGGCCGGAACCCAGCAACGAGGAGTTCACGACCTGCTCAAGGAGGAGCTGCTGTGGTAAGGCAGTCAAGCTCGTCAGCCTGAGACTCATTGGCACCATCTCCCAGCAGACCATCTCCATATAGGTACAACCTCTTTCTGAAACGTTCACTCGTTACCATTGTAACTTCCCAGCCATCATGGGGAACGAACACAACAGAGCCGCGTTCTTGCACGAGCACAATAGGAAGGACCTGCACAAGTCCTCTACGGTCTCCTGTCTTTTCCTGGCAGGCGAACTAACGGTTTACGAGAGGAAAAGCTTAGAAAAAGCTTTTCGGCGTATCAGGCGTGAATTCATTCGTCTCATGGCACTCACGTCCCCGTCTGCCTTCCCTGTTCTTCTTTCCCCTACTCCTGTCCTCCAGCTAAGGACGAGCAGAAGTTCATGGAAGCTTCCTTGGCGTACCAGGCGGGCAAGCCGTTCATGAACGACCGCGAGTACGACGCGCTCAAGCAGACCCTCAAGGTGCGGTACTGTCTGGTTATGTGCGGTACGGCGCGGTACTGTGCGATTTTGCGCTGTGCTGTACTGTGTCGCGTCGAGTCGCTCATTACTGAGAGGGAATGCGACGAGCTGCTGGCGGGACCGTCAGGCTGTGCTGAGTCGTTGCAAGCCGAACACGAGCGAGGGGTGGGACGAGCTCACGAGTTGTGATGCTGGCAGGAGTGTCAGGCAATGCTGAGGCCTGGCCGTGACCTGCGGTGGTAGGCGCGTCGCGTCGGGAATTCTCTTGATTTTTTCTTCCGCGAGGAGAAAATCAGAGACGCACTTCCATCCGAACGGATTGTGTGTGTAGCATGCATTTGCTGTCCATCTTTCTCCCCTTTATCCGTCCATCCCCGTCCATCCCCTTCCATGCCCGTCCATCCCCGCCCATCCCCGCCCATCCCCGTCCATGCCCGTCCATCCCCGCCCATCTCCGCCCATCCCCGTCCATCCCCGTCCATCCCCGTCCATCCCCGTCCATCCCCGTCCATCCCCGTCCATCCCCGTCCATCCCCGTCCATCCCCGTCCATCCCTCAGCCAGGACAAGGGCAACAGGTTGGACATTGAGGGCTCTCACTCCTCCTCGCCGCTCTCTGCCTTTTATTTCTTTCCCCTTCTCAACCCACCTTCCACCGCTCCCCGTCCCTCCCCCTCCGTCCCTCCCCCTCCCTCCCCGTCCTTCCCCCGTCTATCCCCCGCCGTCCCTCCACATCCCTCCCCGTCCCTCCGCTCCCCTTCGCCTCCCTCCGCGTCCGGCAGGCCAAGGGCAGCAAGGTGGCGATCGAGGAGCCTCTCTGCTCCTCGTCGCTCTCTGCCCTTCAATAACTCACCACTTTCCACCCCCGGTCCCTCCCTCCCGCTCCCTCCCCGTCCCTCCTGCTCCCTCCCCGTCCCTCCTGCTCCCTCCCCTTCGCCTCCCTCCGCGTCCACCAGGCCAAGGGCAGCAAGGTGGCGATCGAGGGGCCGCGCTGCAGCCTGCGCACACGCAAGGCGTACAGCGACAGCATGGTGGACTACCTCCGCATGACCGCCCTGAACCTGCCGGCTGCCATCCTTGCTCTCCTCGTGTAAGTGCCTTCACTGGGTTGGTTTTCACGTCACCCATCATAAACCGCCTCTGCGCACGTGCAAGGCGTACAGCGACAGCATGGTGCATGGACTACCTGCGCATGACCGCACTCAACCTCCCTGCTGCCATTCTTGCTCTCCTCGTGTAAGTAACCCCACCACCACTTGCAAGTCGTCACTGGCAGCTGCCTCTCCGCATGCAAGGCGTACAGCGACAGCATGGTGGACTACCTGCGCATGACCGCCCTTAATCTGCCCGCCACCATCCTTGCTCGCTCTCCTCTCCTCGTCTGAGTGCTGCCACCACCTCTACGTGTGCCTATCACCGCAAGCCATATGAGGGCCACTGGCTGCTGCCTGCCCATTCCTCTCCTTGTGCAAGTCGAACAGTGACAGCATGGTGAACTACCTACCTATCCTAGACCGCACTGAGCCTGCCCACTGCTATCCTCGCCCTGCTCGTTTGAGTTCCCTCTCCACCTCCCTGCCGCCAGCACCACTCTTCCCTCTTCCTCCACGCTCTCCTCTTTTCTCTCTTTCCCCTCCTCATACGCCTGGCCCACTTTGTGGGTCCTCAATTTACCTCTTCCCTCCCCTCCCCCATCCCTCTCCTCCTTTCTCTCCGTCTCCTCATACTCCTAGGGCCCCCCAAAGAACGTCACTGGCTTGTGCATCAACTCTGCTTCATTGTGGCGTTTGCTTCGTTGCTCCATCACACCAATGTAGCCCCGAACCTTGAACATTTACCACACTAACCCTGCCCCTTTTCACCTCATGCACAGCACACACTGATCCTTTTCATCCCACATGCTGCCTTGCAATCCTTTGTTCCTGGTCTAATATCGTTCCTCTGTTATTCCCTCCCTTTTTCCCTTCCTAATCCCCCCTCCCCCCCCCCTGTTCCCCCCTCCTCTATTCCCTGCGTTTCTCGACTGCCTCTCTCCCCCTCTCTCTTCTCTACAGCGTTTTCTTCTTTGATGACATCAGCGGATTCGAAATCACTTACCTGCTCGAGGTAATTATTCCAAGTATCCTGGCATTTACTCAAAATTACCTACCTGCTCGAGGTATTCATTTAGCTTCACGGTTCACCCACCTACTCGAGGTACCTACCCTGCTCTGCCATGCCGCACTTCGTATCCAACTTTCTCGGCGTTTCTCCACTCTTCGTCACTCCTCCCTGCCACTTCCGCTCTCCTCCCTGCCACTTCCGCTCTCCTCCCTGCCACTTCCGCTCTCCTCCCTGCCACTTCCTCTCTCCTCCCTGCCACTTCCGCTCTCCTCCCTGCCACTTCCACTCTCCTCTCTGCCACTTCCACTCTCCTGCCTGCCACTTCTGCTCTCCTCCCTGCCACTTCCTCTCTCCTCCCTGCCACTTCCGCTCTCCTCCCTGCCACTTCCGCTCTCCTCCCTGCTACTTCCGCTCTCCTCCCTGCCACTTCCTCTCTCCTCCCTGCCACTTCCACTCTCCTCCCTGCCACTTCCTCTCTCCTCCCTGCCACTTCCACTCTCCTCCCTGACACTTCCGCTCTCCTCCCTGCCACTTCCTCTCTCCTCCCTGCCACTTCCACTCTCCTCTCTGCCACTTCCTCTCTCCTCCCTGCCACTTCCACTCTCCTCCCTGCCACTTCCACTCCTCCCTGCCACTTCCTCTCTCCTCCCTGCCACTTCCACTCTCCTCCCTGCCACTTCCTCTCTGTACCATTCCTTGAGCCGTGGAGCTTCGCCCTCACGAGCTTCGTGCTGCTTCTCGTGGAACACCTCCCAATAGATTGACTTACGACTCTCTGCCTCCAACCCATGGCCCGCCCGTCACTCCCCCTCTCCCATCCTCTCACAACCCCCCACACCCCCCTTAAAGCTGCCGGAGCCCTGGAGCTTCATCTCTGCGTCGTGTACCTGCCTCACGACCCCACTCCCTCCCTGCCTTTATTTCATGACTCTCTCACTCTCGCCCACCCTCTCCTGCACCCTTTTCCTTCAGCTTCCGGAGCCCTGGAGCTTGATATTCACATGGTCCGCAGTGCTGCCCGTCATGTACCTGCTAGTGGGTTGCTTCACGAGCCCACTTCCTCCCTGCCTCTAATCTAATGACTCTCCCTCACCTCCCCCACCCTCTCCCACCCCTCCTTGCCTCAGCTTCCGGAGCCCTGGAGCTTCATCTTCACGTGGTTCGTGGTGCTGCCTGTCGTGTACCTGCTGAGCCAAGCCATCACCAACGGTATCTTCAAGGACTTCCTCATCCTGCAGGTGAGCATGCTGTGATGTCATCACGGGTTGACTTTTGAGTCGGCTCAAAAGTCAGCATGCTGTGATGTCATCACGGCCCCCAATCTTCTGCATGGGGGCATGGTCGCACAGGGGCACGGGCGCATGGGCGCATGGTCGCACAGGGGCACGGGCGCATGGGCGCATGGTCGCACAGGGGCACGGGGGCATGGGCGCATGGTCGCACAGGGGCACGGGGGCATGGGCGCATGGTCGCACAGGGGCACGGGGGCATGGGCACATGGTCGCACAGGGGCATGGGGGCATGGGCGCATAGTCGCACAGGGGCGCGGGGGCATGGGCGCATGGTCGCATAGGGGCATGGGCGCATGGTCGCACAGGGGCATGGGCGCATGGTCGCACAGGGGCACGGGGGCATGGGCGCATGGTCGCACGGGGGCATGGGCGCATGGGCGCATGGTCGCACGGGGGCATGGGCGCATGGTCGCACAGGGGCACGGGGGCATGGGCGCATGGTCGCACAGGGGCACGGGGGCATGGGCGCATGGTCGCGCAGGGGCACGGGGGCATGGGCGCATGGTCGCACAGGGGCACAGGGGCATGGGCGCATGGTCGCACAGCGGCGCGGGGGCATGGTTGCATGGGAGCATGGTCGCATGGGAGCATGGTCGCATGGGGGCATGGTCGCCTGCTCATCCCTCCTCTCCTGCCGACGACTCTGTCCCCCCTTTCCTGCCCCACTCTGTTCCCCCCCACCCACCCACAAGGCCTGTGTTTCTACTAACCCAACTACCCTGCTTACCCACTCTCTCTCCCCTTTTCTCCCTCTCTCCCCCCTCTCTCCCCCTTTTCTCACCCCTTCTCTGCCCCCAATTCCAGGGCCCGTGCCCCAACTGCGGGCACAAGAACGTGAGTTTCTTCGGCACCATCCTCACAGTCAGCACGGGACAACGGGTCAACCAGCTTAAGTGCGAAGATTGTGGCTCCTCCATCTCCTTCGACCTAGACACCCGCAGAATCACTCTCGAGGCCCTCCCTCCCGTCGCAGCCAAGGTACGGTGCCTCATTTTCTGTAGCTGTACTTTCCTCATCTCTGCAGTGCTTGACTGTCAGCCGCTATATGTGTGTGTGTGTGTGTGTATACATATATACAAATATATACATATATATATATATGCAAATCTGTCTCTGGTTGGGCCTTTTACTGTTCTCTCATGTATTCGTCCTTTCCCTATCTGTGTTGCAGGGAGCACCTAAATCTGCCTAATTGCAACATTTTTTTCAAAATGTTGGTGAACAATGCCTGATGCATGTTACAATTAATGGCATGTGCAAAAGAAGATATATTTTACCAATTTGAACGTTTTGTTGTTGTGAGTAGTGCCCTATTTCCAATAGAGGCCGTGTGATGAATTAGCTAAATGTCTCCTTGCGTTTATTACCGTATATGCTTCATAAGAGAATGGCCCTCGTTATACAAGAACTTTATTATGGTTAAAGCGACGGTGCACATTTGCCACCCAAAACCCAGAACCCTGGCGAACTGTTACTGCGGATGGAAAGTGTCCGCACGAAATCCTGGTTTTCGCCAGCCAGCACTTTCGCGCTGGCAAGCCTGGTTCAAAAAAAAAACTTCTGAACCCAACACTGCCAAAAGTTGCCCGTCGCTTTAAGTCATTTCATTTCTTACATTTGGCCTGTGGATATTATATTTGAGTCCGCTAAATGTTTAGGGAAAATATGTCAATGGTAACCAGGCCCTCAGATTCACTTTGAGGCACGTAAGGGTATCAGGGTCCCTCTGGCCCTAGACCCTGATCGACAGGGTCGCCTAGGAAAAAAGCCTGAAAGTTCAGTGTTACTTAAAAAAAAAGTCTGATGCATCAGTGTCACCTATAGAAAAAGGCTGATAGTAGTGAAGCTGATTTTTTAACTTAAAACTCTATGAAGGTCGCAAACAGCCTTCAATCTATCTATCTGTGGTGTAAACCAAAGCCTATCTTGCTTGCTAGCTAGCTATGCATTGCATCCAGCATGACTCTGGGTCTGGGTGAGTTCAGTAATCATCATCTGATGAGGCCTGCTTGTCATCATCATCTTCTCTTCCCTTAGCCTGTCGTTCTGCCCACTCTTCCTCCTCTAGGGCCTCCTTTCCCGTGCTATCCCTGCCCTCTCCCTCTCTTTCGGGTGGTGCCGCCACATTGCCGAATGGGCGGCGCTTCTTGTAGCTGCGCCAGATCTGCACCGCCTCATCGTAGTTGGGCTCGTACTCGAGTAGAGACATGGTGACGAGGTCTTCGAGGCGGGCGTCCTTCAAGCTCCCCCGCTGCCACGATTTGATAACGTTTTGGCGTGAGAAGCCGCGCTCACACTCCACTGTGCTCAGCGGCAGCACGGCGACAGCCACCCAGAGACGCACCAGATTGGGGTAGCCAGTCGCCCTGTCGCTTGTCTTCAGCATTGCTGTTAGGCCTGCGTGGAAGCTCCGCTCGTTCTTCGGGGCACCTGCGAGGATGGGGCAGAAGGCCCGCAGCTCCTTGATCGCACGCCGCTTGTCGACCCCTGCCACATAATGCGGAAGGGAGAGAGAGAGGGGGTTTTTGAAAGGCTGGCAAGTGCGTACACCATACGTTGATGAAATGCAATGACACAATAAGACGGACAGCAACAGTGCGAGAGCGGGAATACCTGGAATGATGTAGTCCGTGTCCTGTGCCCTGAACAGCCTCACGAGAGACTCGAGCCACTCGAGACACTGCCTGTGGCGCTCTGCTCTCCCCAGCTCCCACTCGTCAGGCATGAACAGCCGCACTCCCACCAGGGAGTCCAGGTCCTGGAACCGTGTGCAGAGGTTTTGCACGAGCGTCTCGGCGAAGGTGGTGCAGAGATCGACGCAGGCGTCGTGGGAGCCGAGGGTCGGGTAGTCTTCGCTCGGCTTCTCGTGCAGCTCGAAGGTGTGTGTCGTGGGCCGCCCGTCCGAGTCGACTCCCTGCACCTTCACCTCGGGATTGCCCCCCTCAGGCCCGTGATTCTTGATGAACGGGGAGAGGCGCGCGCTCACCCCGCCTCCAAAGTCGTCACCACAGTCGACGTAGCGGGACTCTAGGAATGAAATCGACCGGCGGATCTGCCCGTGGACACTTGCAATGTCCAGCTGTTAGGGGTCAACAGGGCGAACAGAGGATGGAGAGAAGGCCAAATCAGTGCAAAGCAGATTCTGCTTAAGCAGTACATCAAACAGTGACTCACAAACCGAAACAAGGCACACAATCCAGCAACGATAGTAACCAAGCTCACCTCACGCTGCTGGAATGCCCTGTTCAGCACATTGAGCTGCTCGAGGACGTCTGCAAGGAAGTATAGCAGAAAGTGAAACCTGTAGCTCGTGGCGAGCTCGTAGAGGGTGATGTCCCACTCATACAGCATCACGATCAGCGCGGGGAAGACCTCTACCGCGCGCAGAATGGCGTCACCGCGGGAGAGCCAGCGGACGTCGTGGATCCCTTGTAGCTCCAGGTTTGTTTTCGTGAACACCTCCTGCAGGCCAATGAAGCGTTGATGCCACGGGCCAGAACGCCCCAAATGCTCTGCCACTTGGCGGAGCAGGGAGTCCACCATGCCGAACTCGGGGAGTTGTTCAGCGGCGTCCTTTGCTGCGAGGGCCTCCCTGCATGCACACCAGCATTAAAACCGGCTCAAGGAGGGGTTAGCAGGGGATGCAGCAGGGACTGTATGGAAGCAGTAAACAGAAGATGAAAACTGACCTGTGGGCGATGCAGTGGCTCGAAACAAGATGCGGGATGCGGAGGCGAAGTCGAGCGACAAGGCCGTTGTGTTTCCCCATCATCACACTCGCTCCGTCAGTGCTTATGCCGGATATCCTCGCCATTTCAATGCCTAGGGCCTGCAGGTGGGACAAGAGCACTGAGAGGAGAGAGGCTGCATCGCCCTTCTCCACGGTCAGCAGGGCAAGGAACTCAGTCACGGGACGATTTTCACGGATGAATGTCGCGAAAACAATCATATGCTTTCCCCAACACCTGTCCGTGCTTTCGTCGCACGTGACGCCAATGTATGGGCTGCTGAGGATGTGCTGCAGTTGCGTTGTGTGCAACCATGTGGCCATCGACTGTGTCAGCTGCCCGAAGCCGTAGCTGCAGCGCATGTCAAACAACACAACGTCAGATAATTCGGTTGAGTTTCACAAACACGGTTGCAGTTAGATTAATTCAACACTTACGTAGTATAATAGGTTCCGTAGCCTTTTGCTGGGAACCCGGGCACCTTGAGTCGCGCGAGGTAGCGCACAAGATTCACCCATAACTCTATGGGTGCATCTTGCTTGGTCACGAAGAGCAGGGAGTCGAGGAGCTTGACGACCCGCTCCTTCTCCGTGTCGCGAGCGAGATTGTCGCCGTTGATCCGTGGCTGCGTAGCGGCGTCGTCGAGAAGCTTCTGCTGGTGTTTCAACGCCTCCTTGTGCTTGGTAGTTGCCGCATGCCGTTTGAACGCCTGCGTCTGAACGTCTGTGGCGCCCTTTCCGCCTCTCCCACACGGTCCAGCGTAGCCTGCGTGCTCCGTACAGATGCTGCACTTGAAAGCGGGGAAACCGTCAGCTTTCTTTAGCAGAATAAGCCAAGAAAACCGCTCGAGCCACTCGCTTTTGTACTTATACAGAGCCTCCGCGTAGGTTGCGTCTGGCCCTGCCGGTTTAGAAGGCCCAGGTGTTGAGGGCGACGCCTGCGTGCCTGCGGTCGCGGGCGTCGACAGTTGGTCGGCTGGCGAAGCCGGTGTTGCACCAGCGGGACCTCCCTTCTTGGGCCACGGCAGCATTGACTGCGTGTACCTGGCGGACTTCTTAGCCACTGGCACCGCCGCGATTTCTTCACCTGAAGGGTTGGAGCTGTCTTGCTCCAACACGGGCGCAGTAGGGGAGGGACACATAGGCTCGTCGATGGGTTCAAATGGAACATCGACGGTCGGCGCGACTGCAGGCGCCTTTCCATGGTTATCTACTGCCGCTAAGTTGGAGAATAGCAGATCCAGCCCGGTAACGGCCGCGGACAGATCAATTGGCGAACGACGAGCGGGTTCATCGCCGGGGTCATCAGGTCGCTCAATGGCGTCCGGGTGGTCCGCCATTGATTGCGCTGTGAACAAGCAGCATCTAACGGGACTCCCTAGCTAGCTGAACGATGGAGGTTTGCCAGGAAGAGAGGACACACGGCTGACTGCCTCTTGGTACACCAGGCAGCAACGCGATGAAACCTTACACATGCTAGATGGAAGGAAAGCATGGAGCAGACTGGGGTGGGAGACTGGATGGCTGGCAGCACGGCTGGGCGGCGTGGATGCATCCGTGCTTGCCAGCACGACTTAGACAAAACGGGCCAGAGGACCACAGATGCTTCACATGGGCCTGAATCCCTCGTTGCGCTGCCTGCCAGCATCGCTGTGCTGCAACCCTGTAATTGGCCAAATCAGGAAATGCTGTCAAAGTGGCCAATCATCGCACCACGCGCGCCAACAACGCATCCCTCTACGAGGCAAATTTGTCTGCTACTCACCGCCACGCCCTGCTGACACCGCGGGAATCTGATATTCCCTGTACAGCCGGGCAACTACACACGAACCGTGTAGGAATCGCTTTCAGGGTCGGATTCGTTACAACGTAGTGGAATCAGTGTCACTAAAAAAAAATTGCTGAAAGTTCAGAGTCATGTGCTAGGTGAAGGCTGAAAAATCAGCCCCACAAAAAGCTGAACACTGGAAAATCAGTGTAGGTTAAAATAAAACCCTAGAAATCAGGAATTTCAGGGAAAAATTCCTGATATCGTAGGGCCTGATGGTAACTTACATGGGGCAGTATAACGCGTACGGTAACGATTTCAACGCGTTTGGTAACTCGCTTAACGCGTTTGGTAACTCGCTTAACACGTAACGCGTATGGTAACTATACACTAGCAGCCCATCACGCGAATGGCAACTACATGAAACTCCCGCCGAAATGATCCTGAAATTGAGAAATTTATCGAGTTTGAAAGCCTTTACGCACAGTTTTATCTTTCTTGAACAAGTTCCGCCGCGACTTTGAAGGACCCTGTTTAGTCTAATACCACGGACCAAGAAGTTTAAAAGTTTATATATATATATGGCTCGTAAAAAAACGGTTCAAATCATATTTTTGATAGCGTGATTGCGAACTTGCAAAATGATAAAAAAAAAACTTTCCGCGAAAGGGCATCGGGCTTTTAAGTTTTGTAATTACTGCAACGTTGGCCATTTTTTTTTCATGTGGAAAAGCTACACCTCTTTAGAATTACATACTTCATTTTTCAAAAAAGGACCATATACGCCTTGTCGCAAGGAGTTTAGGGTTGATGCTCCCAAATTCATTTGCCATCTGAAAGGGGCATAGATTTGTTTGCCCCGGTTGCACGATAGAATTAAGTACAAACAGTTTGTGGAAGGAGCGCCAGAATATCAGTTGCATATAAAACTTTGTTTTTGAAACACTTACGGTTTTGCAGTTAGCTTGAAAATCGGAAAGCGTGTCAGGATTTCGGGAAGTGTGTCAGAATTTTGGAAAACTGTGTCAGAATATCGGAGAGTGTGTCAGAGGTTTCTGCTTCAAGATTCGTCAATTTAGTCTGACGCGAGCGGGAAAAACCAGAATCAGGGTCATTTTGGGCGAGGGTTTCTTCTAGTTACCATTCGCGTGATGGGCTGCTAGTGTATAGTTACCATACGCGTTAAGCGAGTTACCAAACGTGTTAAGCGAGTTGCCAAACGCGTTAAGCGAGTTACCAAACGCGTTGAAATCGTTACCGTACGCGTTATACTGCCCCATGTAAGTTACCATTGACATATTTTCCCAAATGTTTATTTGCCAGTGAACGGTGAGGGCTCTCAGATACGTGTAAGCTACAATTATACAACGAGATGAGTTTCACAAGGTTATCCAGGTGTACTGACTGAGGCGTAAACTAGGGAAAATATGCCGTTCGTAACCATCATGGGACTCGAAAACATTTTTGGTAAAAAAATAAAGGGTACGGTCACTGCAAAGGGTGTTTTCACGCGACTGATAAAGCGTTTCACGGAATCAGTCACAATCAGCTGGTAAAAAAAAAACGCGAATGGTCACAGATGAAACTCCCGCCAAAACAAAATGAAACCCAGAAAGAACCTGGATGCATTTTCGGATGATCAACCCTAAACACGAAACTCGCCAGGTGTTTAGGGTTGATCCGTTCCCAAACCGCATCCGATTCCGATTGGGTTTTAGTTTTTTTACAAGTTCGCAGATTGGTTGGGCGCGAGCGGGAATTTTGTTGAGTTTCAAGTTTTTTTGGCGGGAGTTACATGTGTGACCATTCGCGTGATTTTTTACCTGTTGTTAGTGACTGAATCCGTGACCCCGCTTACCAAACCCGTCAGAAAACCCGATACAGTGACCGTACGCGTTTTTTTTCTACCATTCACGTTATCGAGTCCCAAGTTGGTTACTTGTGGCATATTTTCCCGCGTAAACTATGATGATGGTCAGGGTCAAAGCAGTTTGCTGTCTTGCGCGTGCTTGCTGGGAAGCTCAAGTTCGGCGGCATGTTCCACTTCATTCCATCCATTCCGTTCTGTGTTTCGTGTGTGTGTGGGTGTGGTGGGCGGTGCTGGATTAGGTTTTGGCATGCGTTGAATTCCGGTCAATTTGTTGCTCGGTTTCATCAATCTGCGTCCCTCTTGTCCTGCCATATCAAACAATTCGTCTCGCGAGCAGCCCTGCTCGAGTTCCTCGTTCGTGGCACACTGTTCAGAGGTAATGTTTGATTTCAGCAACTGTAGACATCATGCCTCACCGCTCTCCACAACTCTCTCACGGTTGTACGACCGTCCAAAGTTACCCTTTTCAGTCACTCAGGATCTGGGTTAGATTTATCCTAAATAAAGTAGCAGTTATTCGTTTATTTGTGTTCAGAGAAGCAGTTCCGTGCTGGAGGAGTTTGAGCAATATTTACGGTCAAAACGAGGGTAGCTGAGTGTGAAAATTAAGAGCAGAAATATTTGAAACCGAGAACGACATTTACACTGGAGGATTAAATGTCCAGCCTGTGCTTGGCAGTTATTCAGATGTACTATACTGTATAGTCCTGCCAGTAGACGTCAAACCTGCCAGTTTCTTTCACGGTCGTCGTCCAAGTCGTCCCAACTTACCAACAGCATTCCAACAAGTCGTCGTCGCCGACAGCCCTGGAAGTCGTCGCTCGGACAGCCCTGGTTGCTAGCTTGGCTACACTGTACACTCAAAAGAACGCGTGGTGGGACAAACAGAGGACAAAGCTAGCAGGTGGTAATACAACCAAGTTTGTCAACCAATCAGTGAAAATTCATCGTGTCGATCGGTAAGGTGATTCGTTTCTTTCGATGGCTTGGCGATCCTTGGGATGCGGTCACTAATGCATGCTTCCAACCACAAAACAAACTTGCCATCCCAAAGGCAACTCGTAGCACGACGCGACCCGTCATTCCCGCCCTGGTCCCAGGAAAGGCTGTGATGTGCCCCCTCCAAGGCGGAGAACGTGCCTGAGCATCAAGCAAACCAACCAACCAACAAGCCAAATCAGCTGCGGTAGCCCAGCATTCCAGTGACACTAGTACAAACCATCATTTCGCACCAGCGGCTAACAAACTTCTAGATTTTTTTTTTCCAGACGAGCAGCAGAGCAGACCCCATAGCATCTGTGCCAATAAAAGCAGTGTGCTGCTGTCTGGACAGCACACATTTCCCCTCCCCTTTCCCGCCCCAACCAACATCTTGGTCAACGCCAGCAATCAACCATTTCCATCTAGCCTTCTTGAAGCCGCAACCATTTCCATCCAGCAAAACCCTAACGTGCCTAGCCGGAGAGTAAAAACAACGAAGTAACTTCTTTATCCCCACATTCGACCCAGAGCATATTAACATACTTAAGGCAACAGCAAAGCGCAGATAAGGGGAAAATGTCAACGGAAGACGATGAATCACCCTCTATGGAGGTGCAGCTGGAATCGCTGGGTGAGTTGTGCAGACAGCTTCAGGAAGCGGCGCGGCAGGCGCATTCTAACAGCAAGGTGCTCTTAAAGCATGCGGACACCATGGTGCTGCGCGTCGAAATCGCCAAGCGCGGCGTGGACCTCGTAGACCACGAATTCGACCAGGCGCTCGGAAGGTAATGGGCAAGCAGAATTTTGACAATGGTATGCTCATGCGCGAACACCTGATGGTCTGCGCGTCGAATCGCCAAGCGCAGCGTGGACCTCGTAGACCATGAAATCGAGATGGCACACGGCGCCCGGAAGGTAGTAGTATTCAAAAGCTGACAACGAACTCAAGGAAACGGATAAGTAAAAATGAAAAAATTCCTGAAAAAAAACAAAACAAAACAAAAAAACAACAACAACAACAAACAAACAAACAGCTTCCCTTTCTGTTCAACAACTAACCCGCCTCCAAGAGGAATTCAGCTCATTCCTCTCTATGAAACGAAATGGGGAAATCAATGGGAACATGAGCTTCCCAATTTTCATTCCTCTGTGAGAGACTGTTCCTCTCTAACACCCCATTTATCCAAGACTTACATACTTATGATTTGTGGTACAGGCTATACTTCTTGCGCCATGAAGGTCGGACTATACTACGCAAATTTATGAGTCTGCATTCCTCCCCAAATATAACGCCCTCTGCTTTAGACCAAGCTATGGGTGGTGCGAAGCTGCCCTTTTGAACCGTCCCCATTGGCTCAGAGTGCCCCTCCCCCTGGTTGACCAGGTCTGCGCTGCTGCATTAAGTTTCACAGCAATCTACATTAAGTTCTAGCTACACCACTCGGTAGCACAATGACCAGCTGAGACATTATTGAAACGCGCAGTGGTGACCCGTTCAGCTCTTCGTGTAAGTCACAGACGACATCACACTAAACCCCATTCCTGCCCGCGTTTCTCCCCACAACCCAATCCCACCAGCGACTTAATCGAGGCTCAAGAGCTCGTGGAGGCTGCCATGTCATGAAATGCGGTTTCTATGTGGAAAGATTGCTTGAGAATCGCCTGTAACCTGCGAGGGTTACTGGTACGTGCGAAAATCTGAACCCTTTCTCCCCACAAACCCCA